AGACTTCAGACTTCAGCACCTCTTAAAAAACAAACGCCACCTTAGAGTTGTTGCATGGTAGTAGTTTTTTTTTATCATATCATTATATGATTCATATGACATAACAAAAGGAAAAGAAGGGTTAAAGCATACCAAAGCAGTCAGATTTTGAGAAAAGCCTTATTATTAGTCAAAAAAAGAACTTACAGGTCTGTTTGGTAAGTACATGACTAAAAGCTTTATTATCTACACTTTTTTGGTTTGTGGTGTTTGGGTACTAGATACTCTTTTAGTATAAAAGGAGTATACTTGTTAAGAAATGGAACATAAAGATTAACATACATACACCATGACAATTCAAAGGTATATAGTAGTGGTACCAGTAGTAAAAGTTGAAGAATAGGACCACTGCCACCCCTACCTCTGTTTTTAGTATTGGAATTTAGCCTGAAAACATGAGTTTTGTCTCTGCAACTTTCCTACCCACCCATACCAACTTATCACATGCATCCTTCCACTTCCACTTGATAACCAAAGAAAATCTCTCTCTCATATCTGGTCATTTCATCCCTTCTTAAAACAGATGAATGTGAAAGTCTTTTGGTCAAGAAAAACAAAATATGGGTTTAATTACAAGTTTCAAAGGGAGAAGGTAGGGCACAAGAAGCTGTAAAGATATGGTGTAAGCTATTATTTAAGTATTGTTCATATTTTATATTGAATTAAAAAGCACATTTAATAGATCTGGTTTCCCACAACAGTTGACTTTAAAATAGATTTTTTCAAATTTGTGAAACTGGTTTATGTTTAGTGGGGGTCAACTTCAAAAAAGTGGTTTGGTTGGTATTACACCCAACACCATGAGTGGTTAAAAATGTTGAGTTACCAGTTAAAAAGGTACTTTAGTTGATGAGGAATTGGAACAACACACAACACAAACACGAGATGTAATTATTAATCATATATTAAGTGATACTAACATAATCTTAATTAAGAACATAGTTGAAGAAAAAGGGAAAATTGGTTTTCCAATATAACATTAGCTAGAGAATTGGAATTATTTTCAACTTTGTTTTTGCATTACGCACGTACCGATCCCTGAAATGTGTGAACAAGAGCACCTGCTCCTGCGGATGCAAAGTTGGCTCCGATCTTGTAATAGGTTCGGCTGGCCGGCTGATCCATATACGGCGGGATCAACGGCAACTTGACATACTCCACTGTTTGATATAATAATTAATTTATGAAAATTAATCAACTAAGAAATGGAAATGGAAATGGAAATGGAAATGAATTAATTAAGAAGAGAGAGGCTTACAGATGAAATCAGGAATGATACGGCCATCGGAAAAGCGTCCTGTGGGGAAATGGAAGTATGTTTGGCCGTAAGGCGGGAAATTAGATTGGTCGAGAGTGGTGGTGTTAATGTAGTTGTTGTTTCCAGGATCAAAGAAAGAGTCTCCGAAGATGAAGAACGCAGGAGCGGTGGGAGTGGATGTTGATATGGATATGGAGAGAGAGATGAAGAAGAAGAAGAAGAAGCAGAAGCAGTTGCAGCATGCCCATGGCGATGGCGGTTCCATTACAATTACAATCACAATTACGATTACAAGTAGAAATAAAGGTAATTTACTGATATACCATATCTATCTTACAAATTATAAAATAATTTTAAAAAACATATATGTATATGTATATATATATATATATATATATCTCTCTCTCTCTTCTCTGTGTGTGTGTGTGACAAGCAAACGGTGTTGACTAATCAAAATATTATTTAACTGAGTCTGCCATGTCAATTCCCTTTTTCATTTTTTTATAAAATGATATGCTATTATTTGATTAAAAGAAACTTAATTAAAATGATTATTTTGATAGAGATGGTTTTATCATTTAGGTTTGTTTGATTAACGCTGTTGAGGAATGAAAATGAAAATGAAAATGAAAATGAAAATGAAAATGAAATGAGAATGAATTTCCATTCCCTCCGGTTTAAGTAGAAATGAAATTTTGGTCTTTTGAGGAAATGAACTCATTATATTATAGAAAATCAAACAGTTTCTTTTATTTTTATTTTCATTGATTACTCCTTTAACCAAACACCCCCTTAGTCATTTCTGGACTAGATCCACAATTACATGAACCTAGTATGTAAATTAGTTGATAGGTGTGGAAAAATATGTGTATGTTTTTCCAAACTGCGGTTCAGAAACTTTATTTTTTTCTTACACTTTGACTTCTCCGCAAGTTACAGACCAACCAACCAATTGTGTTGTAATATTGGAAAGAAATGGTTAAGAGGCGAAACCATCTAATCAAAATGATTATTTTAATTAAAATACTTTTTCATGTGGATTTACATCTCCAACAAAATTTTGAAAATCGAGCAATTTAGCATGTTTGGTTTGGCAAAATCTAAAAGAATTAAAATGATCAGTTGTTTTGGTCAGACGTTTAGTTTACGTATGGAATGAAATTGAATTTCATCATTCATGGATCGTAAATTAATTAATTGAGAAGGAATTCGATTTCATTCTATCCCCATTTTCTCAATTTGATTTACGCAGACCCATATAACCTTCATGTATTTAAGAAAAATGTGTTAGTTAGAAGATGATATCGATTGAGGTTTATATGGTTATGTAAAAGTATGTTTGAAAATGAAATTTGTAAAGTGGCTCTCATCAAAAATGATATTTCATGAGCATGAAGATGGTTTTTTTGATAGTGGATAGAAACAAAGTAGATAACGGTTTTGACATGCTTATTCAAATTGAGTGTGGAGAGAATATTTATATATATATATATATATATATATATATATATATATATATATATATGGTGTTAATGTCTCCCATCTCCATCCCCATCTCTATAAAAGGGAATAATATTAGATGTTTCACATCACATGTTAATAATAAACACACATATTAATTTAATAACAAATATGTAATACATATATTCAAAATCATTATTTTTGGTAGGATGGAAGCTTAACATCATATGAATCAGTCATCTTTGGGTTCATGGCGTTTGCTGTCTCTTCATCTGGAAGCATATATAATCACAAGCAGATCAACTTCATTCATTCATCACATTCATATTCAAAAAGTAAACTCCATTAATTTCAGCATACCTACACACACATGCTTCATGCTACAAAAACAATTAAAATAGCCGTCCAAAAATGCATAATCACATTGAAAACCTTATTTGGAATTTGGAGGCTTTATATATACATATGTAGTTACACCAACATTTCCTACGGTTACTAGAAAAATAGTAGAAGCTACTATTTTTTTTTAATAGATGGTTGTAGAAGCTACTGTCACCCACATTTCCGTCAAACACTCAAGTATAAATGTAACAAACATTATGAGATTTTTTAAAGAATTTGTAAATCTTGATAGAATTTATACAACTAGTAATATAAAAGGTCTGGAATCTCCCACGCCCTTCTGTTTCCAATAAAAGTTAGTAGGTGATTTCATTGGATATGAAGAAAACCCTTTATATTCCATAAAAGCCTTTTGGTCTTTCCTATATATGCAAATATGCTATATAATAAATTGTTAAGTAAATATGCAACTTCATTCATCTTGAACATGGCTGGTAGCTCAAGCTCTCATCTTTTCCACGTTGTAGATGATTTCTACTTTTCAGCTCTCCATGATGATGACGAAATCTTTCCCATTTCTGATGAGAAATATGCCCACCAACTGCAACTTCAAGAGGCTCTCATATCTGCCTCAGCCTCACTATTTCAAAATGCATCATCATCCAAGAAGCAGCGGATCGAGGAGGAGGATGCATCTGACCAATTACACGACAGCTTCTGTGAAATTTGCATGGACAGAAAGACTGCTTCTGATATGTTCCGTAACATTAACGTTTGTGGTCATTTGTTCTGTCTAGACTGTATTCGCCGACACGTGGCTGCCAAGATCAAGGAGAATATACCACAGGTTAAGTGTCCTGAACCAAAATGCAAGGGGATAATAGGACCAGAAATCTGTCGATCCATTGTCCCAAAACAAGTACTGGCGAGATGGGAAGAGTCGCTATGCGAATCTCTGATCCTTGGTTCCGACAAGTTCTACTGCCCATTTAAAGACTGTTCAGCCATGTTGGTGGATGATGGTGGTGAAACCGTGACATCATCGGAATGCCCAAATTGCAACAGACTGTTCTGTGCACAGTGCAGGGTAGTATGGCATTCAGGGATGGATTGTAGGGAATTTCAGAGCCTAGAAAAGGGTGAGAGGGATCCAGAAGATGTAATGTTGATGGAGCTTGCCAAGAAGAAGAAGTGGAGGAGGTGCCCAAGATGCAAGTTTTTTGTAGAAAAAGCACAAGGTTGTCTTCACATATCTTGCAGGTTGGTTCAAGACTCATCATGGATTCTTAGCCTTTAATTAGTGCTCCTGAAATTGCTAATTTGATGTTGTTGCAGGTGCGGGTATGAATTTTGTTATGGATGCGGATTGATGCATCATGGAAGTCATGTCTGCCCAATCGCTTGATGTTTAATTTTTCCTGAATCTTGGCAGCTGCTACTTGAACCAAAATGAAATGGGATTTGTGTTTACTCTAATTTTTATTGTAAGTTGGAGATGGCAACATGCATTAATTGTCCTTTCTCTTAGATCAAATGGGATGATCTATATATTTATCTGATGCAAGTTGTTAAAGGATTTGGATTTTTTGGCATATGGGATTTGGAATCATCATAAGTTTTACACAACTAATTAACTGTATATATATATATGTCATCAGCTGATGATAACCAAATTCAAATTTAAGTATCTTACAGGAAATTATTTTTGCAACTGCTTAATAGATAATTAAAGAAAAAAAATATATTTCTTCACATCATAATTGAAATGGGAATAAATTTTTGGATTTTAATTTCAAAAATTATGTTAAAATAAATGCAACATAATATATGGAATGTTGGTGTAAACAAAATTTTGGAATATAAACATACTTTCTTGTTACGAATTAAATCCCATCATGGTTTATGGAAGTAATTATCAAGAAGATCAAATTTTAGTACATGATAAATTAAGAAAAAGTATTTTAATCTATATATATAATATATAAAAGAAAAACGAAATGTTTTCTTAACACTGAAAATTAATTGAAAACTTTAATAATTAACAATTGAATTTAAAAACCATCATTAGAAATAAAAACATTTCGTCTTCTGATTTCTTGTACAAGAGTCTTGATTTTTATCTTGAATTTAAACGTATAAGTGAGATTTTTTATGTATCTTCTTGACTTTATAATTGTTAATATATACACATTATTGATGTTGAAAATTTATGATAGAAAATGTTTTTTTAAAAACTACTAGTTGTGTACCCGCGCAATGCAGCGGGAGCCATGAATTTTAACGATTTTGAAGTTTCACTGGTTTTATAAGATAAGATTTAACGATGATATAGGTTACACTTGGTCTTTACATATTAATACAATTTGAATAAATAAGAGTTATGGTTCCAATTACAGACTATCGATGAAAAAAATTGTATGACAGTTTAAAATTCAACATATTTAAACGACTTCACAAATGTGTTCGATTTACACCAAGAGCAAAGCCAAGAAACTTGAGTTTTAAGATAAACACTCAAAATCAATAAAGAAAACTACAAATTTGACAGATCATAAGCCATGAAAAGACAAAAAAAGATGGGTTTTARAATGAAATTTCAACTGCTTACCCTCTTTTTTGTCTAGAAACTCAGATTAAGATTGAATTAATACATGTATATATATTTCAAAAAAACGCAAGAACATATTATTTCAAAACATATTATACAGTGCAATTTGGACAGCCTAACCCCAAAATATAGTATATATATAAATAAATAACTATAAAAGTATAATCGTAAATATTAAAAATATTTTTTCACAGTATATATAATATATAATAATATAATTAAGTCAAAAACTATTCAATATTDGAYTCATTTCGAAGGTATTAACGAGACGATTATAATAGTGTAACTTGTTAAAATAAAAATGTATATTTTAAACATGTTTTAATTGATATACGATTGTGTATGTTAATTTGATAAATGTTTAAAATGAAACATTTAAAAGTAAAAAACGTAAAGTAAATTAATTAACTAATTATAAGAGTATAAAGTGTAACTTTTAAATTATAATTTTAAAAAAATCGGTTGTGAGATGGTGAGTGTATGTGAGGAGATGAGGGGGTTAAAAAGTGAAAAAGTAAAAGGATAGTATAAAGGGTATTTTGGTCATTTAGTATTTTAAGACTTTAAGACTTTTGCTAAATTTGCTTAATAAGATAGTATAGATGATTATGGAGTTTTAATTATATAATTAAGTTGTTAATTAATGAGTTGAAATTGAGGTAGTAGTTAGGCAAATGGGTTCAATTATAAATTTTTAATCTATAAAATATTGTATGTCTTGATCTGTATTTCTATTTTATATATAGAAATGTGTTTTGAAATATAAGAAAATTCTAGTATAATATGGAAAAACGAACTAAAAATAAACAATTAAAAAATGAATGTTGTAATCCCTAATAGGAAAATATGATATTGTTTTTTAATTACATATTATTATTTCCTTATATTTATCATTTGTAGATTTCTAGTTCGATTTCCCTTGTTTCTAGGCTCCATATACGAAAGACAGCTTTTTTTCTTTTCTTGAAAACTCGAGAAGGCGGGTTAATTGATGATCAACATCACTAGTAATTAGTAAAGATATCATCATGGATGACAGCAGTTCAAGCTCTGGTCTTTTCGACATTCTAGATCATTTCTACTTTCACCCCTCCATGATGATGATCAAATCTTTCCCATCTCCGATGAGAAATATGCCCACGAACTGCAACATCAAGAGGCTCTCATGTCCTCCACTATCAGAATGCATCATCATCAACTACAACACTTCATAAGAATCGTAATCAGGTTAGGTTTGTATATGCTAATTTGTCCTCATTTCCAGGAACAAGGGACCTCAAATTTACATCTTTGTCAAATATTTGTATTGCAGGAAGATCCTCAAAATAACTTTCATCATCATCTCTACTGGCTGCAGGCGGGGGAACATTGATCTTTGGTGAATCCCCAATAAAGCAAGGACCTAACTTGCTGTCACCTTTATGGGAATGACCAGAGGTCACAAGGTTGTTCCTTACATAATAGAGCCTAAAGGATGAATGTGCAAGTTGGAAAGCATCCCAACTATTGCTAGATGAACTGCAACTCCCAAATGCAAAGAACATCAGACATCATAAGATGTAGAATTTAGGAGCTTGTTGGAGTTTAAGGAGATTGCTTTTGGAATGATCTATATATTAACACCCTTACAACAACTAGTTGGAAGTTTTGAGCCTGGCTACATGCTACTAGTTTGGTATGAGACTTCACGTCACACAAATTAGATGAGTAATAGAAAGTAAATGATATACCTATGAACCACAGGAAAAAAAATATGCATGTCAAAAATGGCAAGCTGCATTACAAGAAAAAGTGTTCTTCCAATATATCACATAAGGAATCCCTGATAAACAAAATCACAGGTATTTCTCACTGAATTTCGATACGTTAAGAAATGCCAAAGCTGGCTTTAAATACAATAGCATAACCACTTGAAATAAACAAACTAAGCTAGAAAACAGGAAGAATACTAAAAAAATGGAAATAGCATAAGACTCGGTCTATCACGTGTGCCACTTCACTTGAGTTGACCCAATCAGCTTTATTTGAGTTTACCGCTTCAACCAACAGACCACCAACTTAACTCCGTCAAACCCTCCCTCAAACAAGACTATGCTTCCACGACTTGTTTGTCCTTGAATGAGCACATACCAAGCCTTTCTCTCAGCCTTCGAAAATCATCTCGATGCAAAGGCTTAGTAAGGATGTCTGCTACCTGCTCCCTTGTCTCAACATATTTTAGCTCAATAGTTCCATCATTAACCAGATCTCTCAGAAAGTGAAAACGAGCACTAATGTGTTTACACCTGCCATGAAAAACAAGATTTTTCGAGAGTTGAATCGCCGATGTGTTGTCGCATTTTATCACAGTTCCTCCTGTCAGCTGTGAACCAAGATCTTCTAGTATTCCTCGAACCCAAATAACTTAGCAAGCACATGTTGCGGCTGCCACGTATTCAGCTTCCGTGGATGACAGGGCGATGATGCTTTGTTTCTTTGATGACCATGACACTACTGCTCCATCCCACAGAACTAGGTAACCCGAAGTACTTTTTCAGTCATTCGGATCACCTGCAAAGTCACTATATGTGAAGACTTGCATCTTTCCACTTCCTCCCTTTTTGTACCAAACCCCATAATCCAATGTTCTTTGTAGATACCTCATCACTCGTTTTGCTGCTACAAAATGAGTTTCCGTGGGTTTAGCCATGAATCGACTTATAAAACTTACCACAAACTGAATGTCGGGCCGTGTGGTGGTGATGTATATCAGACTACCAACTAATTGTTTAAACAAGGTTTCATCAACTGGTTTGCCTTTATCTTGCTTTAGTCTGCATCCTGGCACCATTGGATTGGCTACTGCATTGCATTCCATCATCTTGAAACGGGTCAGTATTTCAATTGCATATTTCTTTTGTGAAATATGAATACTCGCTGAAGTTTGGATCACTTCTATTCCCAGAAAGTACCTCATCTTTCTCAGATCGGTCATCTCGAACTCACTTTTCATTGAAGTTTTGAAGTCCTCCATCATCTTCTCATCACTTCCTGTGCAAAACAAATCATCGACATAGATGTTTACAAGCAATAATTTACCTCCTACTTGTTTCTTAATAAACAACGTATGCTCTAATTTGCTTCTCGTAAACCCTTCATTAATGAAATAAGCTTCAATGCGGCTGAACCAAGCCCTGGGGGCTTGTTTAAGCCCGTATAAAGCCTTTTGAAGCTTATACACCTTATGCTCATTGTTCTTCGTAATTAGGGGTGAGCATAGGTGGGTACCCGCCCTTTTTGACAGGAACAGGAACCGGAACCGGCGGTTCTTGAGATATTGGAACCGGAACCGGTTAGAGCGGTTCTTAAATTTTTGGAACCGGAACTGGAACCGCCAGGAACCGGTTCTGGTTCCGGGTACCCGCTTCCTAAAATATTAAAATTTTGTTATTTAGAAATAAAAAATAAAACATTGTCAAAACACTAAATAAATAAGCAAGAATACAAATTATACAGACTAATGGTTACAAATATTGATTAACGATTACAAACCATAATAGACTAATAGAAAATGTTCAAAGTTTAACGATTACATATTATAATGGTAATTGTTCAAAGTTTAACAAAGTTTAACAATTACATACTATGAATCCAAGTGAACACACAATTTGAAAAAATACGAATCATTTTATATATATGAAGAATTTAGATGAAGATTGAAGATGACGACGTGCTTTTAAGATGTAAACCTAATATAAATTTGGTATTAAAAAATAATAATTATTTTTTTATTGAAAAATACCGGCTACCCGGCGGGTAACGGTTCCGAAAAAATGAGAACCGGAACCGGAACCATTCTCAACCGGTTCCGTATTTTAGGAACCGGAACCGGAACCACTTATATCGGTTCCGGTTCTGGAACCGGCGGTTCCGGTTCTATAGCCGGGTACCCGGTTCCGCTGCTCATCCCTATTCGTAATGTAGCCCTGCGGTTGTTGAACATACACATCTTCTTGCAACGTTCCATAAAGAAAAAGCGGATTTTACATCCATTTGATAAATACTCCAGCCTTTTTGAGCTGCTAGAGCAATCATCAAACGTATTGTATCCATTCTCGCCACTGGTGCATACACTTCCATGTAATCTACTCCAAACTCTTGACCGTATCCCCTAGCGACCAATCTCGCTTTATACTTTTCGACCTCACCCCTTTCGTTCAACTTAGTCTTATAGACCCACTTCACACCAATGCACTTGGCACCCTTCGGCAAATCAACTAGGCGCCAAGTTTTATTATTTTTTAATCATCTCGATTTCCAAATCCATTGCCATCTTCCACTTATCTTCCTTGACTGCATCTTCATAGTGAATGGGATCGTGATGGATTAATTCCACAACATTCAACTCTTCTTCCTCTGATTCTAGATCATTACCTGTGACATAGTCTTGTAGATAGCTAGGCGGTCTTCGTTGTCTTCCCTCCCTAGCTAGAGTAGAGCTAGGACCGGATCGTTAGCTGGCTGATTTGGCTCAGCCAAAACTTGTTGTTCAACAGCACCATGTTCATCAGGAAAGTCATGATCTTCATCAAGGAGGTCATAATCCCATGCAAGTTCCTCGTCATTAGTTCTCCTTTCTTTACTTTGATTCCAATCCCAACCTTTATGCTCTTCAAAGATAACGTCCTTACTTATTACCACCTTCATTGTTTGGGGGTTGATGAGCTGATACGCCTTTGACTCCTCGCTCACACCTGTTAAAACACAAACAAAACTTTTGTGGTCAAGTTTAGTCCGTTTCTCCTTAGGTACGTGTACATGTGCCAAACATCCCCAAATCTGGAAATGCGCAACAGTTGGCTTCAATCCGCTCCAGGCTTCTTGTGGGGTCATATTAAGAAGAGCTTTAGTTGTGCTCCTTTTTAATACGTAAAACTTCATTGTGTTGCTTCGGCCCAAAACATCTTGGGCATATTTTTGGCAGAAAGCAACGTCACCACCATATTTATCACGATTCTATTCTTCCGTTCCACAACTCCGTTTTGCTGAGGCGTGAAACTCGTGGTCAACTGCCGTTTAATTCCATGTTCTTTGCAAAAGCTGCTAAAGGCGTCAGAAAGATACTCTCCTCCTCTATCCGTTTGAAGAGTCTTAACCACTTTCCCGGTTTCGGTTTCAACCTTACTTTTGAAGTCTTTAAAACTCTCGAAAGCTTGTGATTTATCTGTCAACAGGTAAAGCCAACCCTTGCGGCTATAATCATCAATAAAACTTATAAAATACTCTCTCCTGCACGCCATGAACTCGATCTAGGAATTGCCTCTTTAGTCTGCTTTCCCATCATACAATCTCCACAAACAGATGTATCAACAGCAAATTCAGGTAAGTCACGTACCATACCTATATGTTCAAGTGTTCTCATGCCAGTCTTGCTGAGGTTCCCCAAGCGCTCATGTTATAACATGACAATGTCATCATCACTAGAGTACAGGCACCCATCTGTCTTTTGTTCAACAATTTCATTTGTATCTTCATTGAGAGGAAACATACGATTTGTGCTCATGTAGCTTTGAAACAGTAATCCTTTATCTGGATGGAACACCTTGCAAACGTCAGATTGGAAAAGGAAAGACAAACCTTTCTTTGGAGCTGCCCAATGTTGAGCAGATTATTCTTGAGATCTGGTACAAAGTACACATCTTTAATCACATATGTTACCCCGTACAGGACCAGTTTCACATTTCCTTTTCCTCCAACTGTTATACAAGGATTGTTTACAAGTTTTACGGCATTTGAGAAGCCTTGATCCAAATCAACGAACTTTCTTTATTACTACACATATGATGTGAGCACCCAGAGTCCAAAAACCACAACAAGCCTTTATTCTCATCATTTGTATGAGCCATAAACCCTTTTTCTTCCACGTCCACCTCCACCATCAACATAATTTCTTCATTTTCATCAAATCCAACATAGTTGGCTTCTTTCTCATTTGAGCATTCGTATGAATAATACCCTAACTTATGACATTTGAAACATTCGATTGTCTTCTTGTTGAAAGATCCACGTCCCGTCCTCTGGGACTTGATCGACCTCTTCCACGTCCACGATTGCTTGAACTGTCACCATAATATACCTTCAGTGCATGTTCGCCTTCCTTTTCAAGCCTCTTAAACTTTTGCTCGTGAATTATCAGGGTACTTTGCAGCTCTTCGATAGACATTGTGTCTATATTTTTCGACTCTTCGATTGATACCACCATGTAAGTGAACTTCTCAGTAAGAGTTCTGAGAATCTTCTCAATGATCTTGACGTCTGTCATCACCTCTCCATTGCTTCTCATCTGCTTGGCAATCGTCAAGACCTGCTAAAGTAATCTGGTATAGTCTCTGTATTCTTCATCTCGAGGACTTCGGAGTCCCTCCGAAGTTTTTGTAACATGGATTTCTTCACACGATCAATTCCAGCAAATCGCTTCTTCATGGAGTCCCACACCGATTTGGATGTTTTCCTATCCAAAATCTGCTCAAACGTGATCCTGTCAATTGTCTGATACAGGTAATGCTTCACCTATAAGTCCTTCATTCGTAACTCTTCTAGTCGCGTCTTCTGGGCAACACCGACAGCTGGTTCGACGACTCCCGGATCTATCAGGTTCCAAAACTGTTTTGCACGCAACAAGTTCTCCATCATTTCACTCCAGTGTTTGTAATGACCATTGTAACACCCTAAAAATTTATTATTCGTAAAATAAATAAATGTTAAGGGTTAAAATTTAAAGAGTAAACGACATACGGGATTAAAGTGTCGATACTCGAAAAATATGATTTTATTGCAATAATAAAATCAATAAAAAAACATTTTATATTTAATTGATTTGGGATGAAAATGCAGAAAGAAAAACAAAAGGGACTATTTCTGCCAAAAGTAGAAAATTAATTTTGAAGTGATGAGATTTGGGAAATCATTCCCCAAATTCACGTTTTTCCTATTCTAGAGACCGTTTGACCATCTATAAATTGGAGTTTTCGGCTGAAATTTTATGGAGACATTCCTAAGGATGTAAGGGAGTAAACGTTTTTGGAATTTCGAGATTTCATCAAGAAACAAGAGAGATATCGAGTTTGAAGCGGCATAGGGTCATTCCGCACAAAAACGGTGATTGGAGGTAAAATACTCAACCAAAATTGATGTATAATATATGGTTGGCTTCGTTTTTCAATTACCTTTCTGTTGGTA